CTTCCCCTCTCCCGTGATACGTCAAGTCAAGGAGAGCGCTACCCTCACAAACCAGACGGCCGCGCACTGGCGACGGGGGTGGGGGGAATTCTGGGAGTTGAAATCCACACATCTTAAAGCTGCCAAGGTTGAGAAACACTGCTTTAATCAATGTACTTTGCAGGACACAAATGATGTTACGTTAGCATGATGTCACCCTAACAATGGATGTACAGCTGATCCTTGTTATTCGCGGATTCCGTACAGTGGAACCTCGGGTTACGAACGCTTCTGTTAACGAACTTTTCGGGTTACGACCAGCTCCGGCCGCAAAATTTTGCTTCGGGTTGCGACCAATTCGGGCTGCGACCCGAGTCACGGAACGAATTAAGTTCGTAACCCGAGGTACCACTGTATTTGCAAATTCGCCTACTTGCTAAAATTTATCTAGAACCCCCAAATCAATATTCACAAGCATTTGTAGACGTGCACAAAGCAGCCAAAAATTTGAGTCACCCGACACGCACGTTCCCAGCTTGAACAAGGGGATCCCCTGCCTTGGTTCAGCTCCAAGGCAGCTGTAAATAATGGTCCTTTTCGCGGTCTATTTAATGCCACATTTTTTGCATTTGGGGGCTGAAATGTATATTAAAGCCGGGGGCTTTAAACCAGAACGCGTGTAAAGTAAGCTTAAGCATTGATGGGTTGACGAAAATGTTGCGAGCAGAAGCTCGCAGGAATCTAATGCTGAATTACCCCGGATGGACCTCACAAACCTAGATTACCTTGGGTTACTTACATGATGGGTAACCAGCGTGCACAAGACTTGAGTTGGCCCACAGAAGAGTTTCACATGCAACCGAATAGTAATTTGGAAGAAAAAATATTAAAGCGCGTAATGCTGGCTCCTGTTTTTCCTTACAACAGCCTTGCGAGGTAGGGACTGCCCAAAGTCACTCAGGGGTTCTGTGTTAAGACCTGAATCTGGCCTCCCAACTCCTAGTTCAGCACTGTAACCACGATACCACACTGGCTTTCTGTAATCCAGTGTTTCTCAACCTTGGCAGCTTTAAGATGTGTGGACTTCAACTCCCAGAATTCCCCAGCCAGCTGGAGAGGAACTGTGTGAGCGATCTTTCCTTTTAATTCTATGCAAATGAAGCAAACAGATTTATACCCCAAAGTTAGCAAAGAAGGTGGAGTAACAGGATGCTTTACTAAGTATATTACACCACTGGTAACTGAAATCAGATTACAAGAAAAACCCATTTTTTGCCAAAGGGAATTGCACGCTCCCTTTAAGGAAGCCAAAAGCCCATTGAATGCAATGGGATCTCGGCTAAAAGTCCAAGCAAATCCCTTTTCAGAAGAATTCAAAGGGAATCAAGAATTTCTCTCTCTTTTTTTTTTGGAGGGAGGGGAACAGGATAGCACGCTATCTAGGATCACTTCCTGATCCTTTTCTACTGTGCCAAGACAAAACCGTGGGAGCGTGCAAGGATAGGATTCTCTACAGCTATTACCCGGTCAAGGTTAATCAGATGAGCGAATCGCTTTTTTCACAGATCGCAGGAGAGTTTGTGCGGGTCCAGAATGGCTAATCATTTATACTGGCCGAGGTGCCTGCGCCTCGAAGACCGTCGCATCTTGAGTTAGATCGCCGTGGCCTGGATCGCTAATTGTTTGTCCCAGGCGCCTTGAAGAACGTCTGGAAGGAATTGTTCCGGCTTGAACAATTTCATCTCAAGACGTTTGCTAGTCGAGTTGCCACTAAGGTCCCTAAACCAGAAGTGGCCTTGTTATATCCCACTCCCAGAATGCATCTGAAGTGGATCAGAGTCCCCGCAAAAAGTCTTCAACTTGATTGCAAACTATAGGCAATCTATGGAGTAGTGTTTCTCATCCTTGGCAACTTGAAGATGTGTGGACTTCAATTCCCAGAATTCCCCAGCCAGCATGTTGAAGTCCACACATCTTCAAGCTGCAGGAGTGTTTTCCTGCTCCTATTAGACACAGGGCAGAACCCCAAATGAATACAGAAACAGCAAATGGACCCCCATGCAGGGTCTTTTGATTGTAGGAAGGATGCTAAGTTGGGGATAGGAATCCAACTCTCCACATTACTGAAATATTCCTCACTGTTTTCCTGATGGAGAGGAAATCCTAGCGTGGGTTGCAATTCCACTCTGCCGAGACCAAACATGTTGGTGAAACCAGGACGTGGAGGCGACCAAATATCTTTGCTCAGTCTTGCTCTGTAAGCAAAAGGCTCAAGGAAGGGATAAATCATTTTATTTATTTCTTTATTAAATTTATTTACGGAATTTATTTGCCCCCCAGGGACTCTGGCCGGTGTATCGAGCGTTCTGGAAACCCCAGTTCTGGAAAATTAAAAGATCATGCAAAGGATTTTGATCCGTTTGCTCCATCTGCGATGGGACCTGGGTGTCCTGAGGATGTCCGCGAGTTCAAGAGCGGTGGAAGGTTTGTTACCGATCGCGAGAACCCCCATCGGCCGAAGCAGCGTACGTCTCGTGGTCAGGCTGGCGTGGGGCTTCCCACATCTGGGGTTGATCATTTGGGGCAGGGGGAGAAAAAGGCCCAAAGTGTGGCCAGCCGGAGAGAGAAAGCTGAAAACCCTTTTCCCCTCTGCTTTCAAATTCCTGCCCGAAGCCCTTCTCCGGAAAAGCACGCGTGGCCCCTTCCAGGCGTTCACAACCACCAGACCCTGGATCTTTCGCACGGGGATTGGGGTTCTCCTTCGGCAATTGTGGGAAATTGGGCTGATTGGGGCCTTCCGAAAAAGACGGCCAGGGTTGGCACTTCGGAGCATCCTCGGCCTGGCAAACAGCGGGCGGGCCACCCTGCTCACCAGAAGGAGCCCCTGAAAGCACCCCCCTCCTCAGAACCTCTCCCCAGCCCGGGCACTCATATCGGGGGGCGGAAAAACATTCCAAAGGAACATCAAAGCTGGGCTGGTGGAAAATGGAACCTCTCCAGTCATGCTTAGACAAACCCTCTCGGCTTGAGCTGGTGTTAAAACAAAGATTATCTTATCTGGAGTCATAAAAAGAGAAAAAAGAAGGGAAAATTGTCCAGCTGACAACATCTTTAAGAGCCTTGTAAACCCAACAGAATCCCTAAGCTAGAATCAGGGGTGTTCATTAAGGAGGAGGAAAGGCCAAGTGAGTTATTTCTTCTTCCTCCTCCTCCTCCATCTCTTCTTCCTCTTCTCCTCCTCCTCCTCCTCCTCTTCTCCCCTCCCTCCCCTTTCTTCTTCCTCTTCCTCTTCTTCTTCCTCTCCTCTTCTTCTTCTCCCTTCTCTCCCCTCTCCTCCACCTCTTCTTCTTCCTCCCTTCCTCCTCCTCCTCCTCCTCCCCCTCCTCCTCCTTTTCTTCTTCTTCCTCCTCCTCCTCCCCCTCCTCCCCTGCTCTTCCTCATCTTCCTCTTCCTCCCCTCCGCCTTCTAAATTCATATGGTGCCCAACTCCCAGCAACTCTGGGTGACTGCACATCAAGGGGCAGGATACCCCACACATTAAATCTGATTTATCACATTTTGCTCCAGCATTTTGCTCCTGAGTTATCTAGAACTTCCCTGGCTTCCTTCCAAACCACTCAGAATTTGCTCCAAATGTTCTCAGTGTTGTAGCTGCTATTGTTGTCACTGCTGTTATTCCATCATGCTCA